TTATCTTCATCTCCAATCCAATGTAATTTCATTGATATTCTTCTGACTCATGATTAGTCCTCTCTTTTATTTCCCTTTTTTACTTTTTAGCATCATTATTTTCCTTCTAATTATTTTTTATATATGTGATGTCTTGGCTGCATAATATTTTACTTGATTAATTTAATAACCTCTATTAATATTCTGTTAGGATTAGTCCACCCATGTGATATATGTGGGTCCCATACATTTGTTAGATTAGTTTAAGCATGTATTTGGGTTAGGATATAGTAGAGTCCGGAATCTATTGGGAAACCCAATGTGTAGGTTTTGGTTACCCAATTTTATGGAACTAGGTTTTTTGTGGATAGACTATTATAAATAGTCATGGAGACTATGTTTTGGTGAGATTAAGAGGAGGATAAAATAGCGATGTAAGGGGTGACAAAAAATACCCTCAAGGCACTAGAGTGATCAATGGCTCAACTATTCTTGAGCATGGGGGTTCTATTCTAGTAGTGATATGGGTTTTGAACGTGTTAACCATCTCACATGTATTATTTATTTTTTATTCATAGTTGAATCTCTCTCCCGTGGATGCTTGCAATTGGTGCCAAACCACAAAAATCTGTGTCTAATTGTTTTTCTCTTTAGTGTGTGCGTTGTGTGCTTCCATTCACATTGGTGGGATGTGGTATAAATCCCATTCACAACATATTCTTCAAAGTTTCCCTTCATTTAGTTCAAATGCAGTCACATATACCTTGTGGGTAGCAGCCTTTTTTTGTTTTGTTTTTTTATTTTATTTTATTTTCTTGACGGCCGTGTTGTTGCCTATTCATTGTCATTTTATTTCTGCCCCTAACAGATTATTGTACTGAGTGATAGCTTTGAGCATCTCTGAATCATCTCATTGAACAATTCGGATTTTCCAGCTATGCAATTTCTATACTTGTCATTCTCTTTGAAAAAACAACACCCCACCCCAAACTCACAGACACTAAAAAAAAAAAAAAAAAAAAAAACCTAAAGAAGGATTTTTCTGTCGCCCTCACCACGAATCATTCTTGTATGATTGTTCCTTCGTTGGGAATCTATTGCTTGCTAGTTGAACTTGTTTCCCTCACCACCAATCATTCATGTATGATTGTGTTCCTTCATTGATATTCTCTAATAATTTTCTTTAATAGTTATCCCTCACCATTTTTCAAGGACATAATGATTCAATGGCTCATTTGGAAAAAGGAAATTGTGTTTCACTTTGTGTTGAACTACCTGGAGGCTGCCGGTGTTATGTGTTATATAGTTCCCAACCTTGAAATCTGAATAATTTTTAGCACCACTGCCAACATTTCTCATTTTGGCACCTCTTACTACTAATTACCAAAGTTTTTAATGGTAAATGTGTAATGTGAGGCATTTTCTCCCTCGTGAGGGGAGGCGTAAGCCTCAAGGCGTTGAGGCATTAGAATTTTGAATATTATATTAAAATAGTAAACAAATATTAAAAATTAAATATGATGTAATTACTTTTCTTCTTAACACATCAAAAAATTTCATTGTAGAGATGGAAGCTTGCCCTCTTCAAAGGTAAATCGGCATTTTTAGCTTAAGCTATCGAGTTTTCACTCTTAGTAGCAAAAAATTCCTTCTTTGTTGACAGTCTTACTAAGAAATGCGATTCTCCACTCCCAAGGAAGAAACCTATAAGAAGCTCGCTTCGATTGAGGAAGAAACTCACACCCATTGGGGAAGAACCTCACACTCAACTGAAATAGAGCCTTTCAAACATACAAATCTCATAGAAACAAAAGAAAAACAACTCAAATTTATTTTGCGACTTTTAATTTATACATAGTAAAGACAATTTACAGTTGACATCAATCTCCATTATAATTCCTATTTTAACACATAATTACAACTAACAAACATAAATATCAGTGATCTTAATTTTGTTATGCATACATAACTGCCCAATTCACTGCAGTGGGAATTGCATAAGCATTTTGTAGGTTAAACAGTATTTATTTTATGCATTTTTATTTTCCTCGGCTTTCTATATGTTTGCTCAATCACCATATGAAAATTTCCAGGATGACGAAGATAGACCAAATCAGAGACGCAAGAAGAGAGCGGTGTCAAACCAAGATCGTCCTCATTCCATCACTGACACAGAACCCAAAGATGCTTACTAGATGCCACTATCAGATTCTGACTCCGAGTAATAGATGGTGTTCAAAGGAATCGAGGTTTGACATTAAGCAAATTAAGCACATGGGGTTCTCGAAGTAAAGATCAAAGTTATATCTCCATTGTGATTATACTGATTTGCTCACAGGTGTAACAAGTAACTAGCAAATGGCCGCCCAACATATATACATTGATCATTTAGAAATTATACCATGAATTTTGGGAACCTGTTTGAAATGATAGTTTGTCCGTTTGTCTCAATGTGTAACTGAATCATAACTTTGGGATAATTTTTGATTTACTTGCAATTGTGTTACCTTCAAGGGCTGCTTTACCTTTCTTATCTGGAAAAGGAAGCACATACGTGATTGTATCACTAAGTTGTAAAATTTTAGTGAAAAATTCTTATGAAAATTGAGGAGATATGTAAAATTTTAGAAGGTTAATTTCCATAAAAGAAAGTTTTCAACAAGTTTAGATTAATATATTGTTCAAACTTAACGGAGTCTTGAGGTTAATTTCATATTCCTCCCTGAGATTTGGCAAGATGATATCTAGCCCCCAAGGGTTTCTAAGTAGGAAGGGTAGGACGTGGGTGTCTCCATTGAGTCTTGTTAAAATATTAAGGTTGTGTTTGGATCATGGAATTGAAAAGGGAGAGAGAGAAAGGTGAGTGAAAATAAGTGAAACGTAATTATATTTCATGTACATTTCACTGAGTTTTTCATTTTGTTTTTTTTCTAAATACCTACTTTAAGTCCATAATCCAAATATAGTTTAAAAAAATAAATATCCTCTCATGATTTGAAGCAAGGACCTCTTAACCAAAATGTCCACACGTAACAAATTGTTTTTACATTTGAAATTTTGATTTACTACGTTCAATTAAGTGTTGATTTATCTGTTAGAATATGGCATATGCATTGCATGTGCACTAAATGGTAATTCAAAAAAATATAAAAAATTCCGTTCAGTTCTTTAATGATACTCTCTCTATATACACGTACATGTATGTACATAACTACGTGTTGACATTTTTGTCTCATATTTTGAGTTTTTTCAAAATGCTCCTATATTTGTATTTGTCGTAAAATTATACAAAGAGGAGCGCAAGTCTCAAACTCATGATCATGGATATAATAATAAATGTTCTTACCACTTGAGCAACACATGTGCATTTTTTTTTATTATTATTCTTATATATATATATATATATATTTTTTTTGAGTTGTACACACATCACGTGTGTGGATTGCCAATATATATATATTTAGTCCATTACTTATATTTATTACTCATAAAAAACAAATTAATGAGCATAGGAGGAAATAAAACAAAAAAGAAAAAAACACCATACATAACAAAAGTTTGTACTTGACAGTGAGCGTAATGCCTCTTTTTATCTCAATATTTTAGCAACCAATGCTAATTTTGTATTTTATCCCTCTGGTTTAAAATTTTCTATTTGATGTCACTAGACTAGACAGTGAAATTTCTTTCTAATCTACAAACAATGAAATATGGTTTTTCATTTTGTAGCACTTAATTTTGGATTTTTAGCTTTTAATTTGAAATTTCTCCATTCATAGATAATAAAAATTTTATTGTTCGAACATAAATAATATTTTCTTTAATATTGCGGATTCAATACGAACTCTTACTGAATGGATTTCGATGAGAGTATTTCAAAAATTACTTTAAAAAAATAAAAATTTAAATTAAAGTTAGTATTTAAAAGTTGGCTAAATTACAAACACACCCCCTGAGGTTTACTTAACTTACCAGTGAGCGTAATGCCTCTTTTTGTCTCAATATTTTAGCAACCAATGCTAATTTTGTATTTTGTCCCTCTGGTTTAAAATTTTCTATTTGATGTCACTAGACTAGACAGTGAAATTTCTTTCTAATCTACAAACAATGAAATATGGTTTTTCATTTTGTAGCACTTAATTTTGGATTTTTAGCTTTTAATTTGAAATTTCTCTATTCATAGATAATAAAAATTTTATTGTTCGAACATAAATAATATTTTCTTTAATATTGCGTATTCAATACGAACTCTTACTGAATGGATTTCAATGAGAGTATTCCAAAAATTACTTTAAAAAAATAAAAATTTAAATTAAAGTTAGTATTTAAAAGTTCGCTAAATTACAAACACATCCCCTGAGGTTTACTTAACTTACAAACTAACCCCTGTGGTTTTAGAAATTACATTATGCCCCAAAAAATTTCTAATTTCATAACAAATAGGTCATTTTATTAATAAACCATCAAGTTAAATAACAGTTTTTAATAATGTTAAAATTTTATTTCAATTAATAATTCAAATAATTTTATTATTGTATAGGTGAACAGTTAGAAATTTCATTTTTCCAATTAATTCTGTTAAATAAAAAAGTCTGATAGGGAGATATTTGTAATTTTTCAAACCACAAGGAGCAATTCGTATTTTAAGCAAACCTCAGGGGGTATATTTGTAGTTTACCCTTAAAAGTTAAAAAATAAAATTAGCTATTTAGTAATTGGGTTGTGTTTGTTGCACTTGTTGTCCTCCTCACAATAAAACTTATGGGCTCGTTTGGTTTCTTATAAAAAAATCTTATTATAAGGGATCTATTATAAAAAATCTCAGCTTTTATTACTCAAGTCTCGTATTAAATTTTTTTTTATGGATATGAATCAATAGAGGTGTGTGATTGGGTCAGTTTGGTTTGAGTTGATATTAAATTTAGAACATATTTAAATGAATCATGCACTTGAACCAAATCAATCCAATGCAAAAAAAAAAAAAAGAAAAAAAGAAAAAAGAATCAAACAATAATAAATAATTAAAATAAACAAGTCTTTAATATTTAAATTTAACGAAACATAAAATAAATATTGTTTAATACAGGCCAACAGTTGTGAATAGTATAGTGAAGTACAACTCAAGTTTAAATACAACCAAAATAAATCAAATCTAGTGACACAACTAACAAAATAAAATTAAGTACCGCAAATTCCAACTCTACCTTTCCAATATTTTCGTCTTCCATTCCCATTCTTCTTCTTAATCTTCTCCCAATCGACTGAAAATCAAAACAGATAGTGAGAAATGATTAGTTGCAATCAAGTCCATTAGAATAGACCAATTAGACAAAAACATGCCGATATAAATTGAATCTTATAATATAAATAAATATATAGATTTGGTTATCAGGTTTGTTCGAGGTAGATAAACCTAAACCAAAAATTAATCCAATCCTATTGAATTATAGAATTGAAGACTCAAAACTAAACCAATGTATTCAAAAAAGACCAAACCAACCCAATAATGTCAGTTTGATTTAGTTTTTTTTTTTTTATTCTATGATAATTTGTCCACCCCTAATCCAATATAAAGGCAAAAAAGCAGAGAGATATATATCAACAAATTTTATGATGAGAATTAGTGAGGGGGATGTGAAAGAAATGATAAGAGACCCAACAGTTGTTTCGTCTCTTGTGAAAAAAAGGATTATTCAGGCAGAAATAAGAAATTTACCGAATCTTGAGGGAAGACACATGTCGCACTTTGTAAAAATCTTCTCCTTCTTCACCATTGACCCTTCGAAGCTTGTTATTGAAATTTTCGCTCCCATCCGTAATTGTAAATTGTTGGAGGGTAGCAATGAATCTCAGTCCCTCTGGAACCATTTCTAGTCCTCGGCAAAAATAAATTGCTAAAACAGAGAGATTGGGCATGGCTCCTTTTTCCACCTCCCACTCTTTTAAATGCGTCAAGTGAGAGAGATATAGGGTTTTGAGTTGGGGGAAACCATTAGCGGAGCAAACCATTTTGTCCCCCACAAAGGAACCACCTAACAAGAGAAATTGTAGGTTAGGTAGCCTCTCCAATGTTGGCATAGGGTCTTCTTCAAGGTTACATCCCACCAACGTTAACTTGATGAGGTTGGGAGAGAAACCCTTGCAGTACTCTGGTAACTCGGGAATAATTCCATCAATACTCAATCTGTAAAGATGGTGACACCCTAACAGTTGTTTGAGAAGAGTCAACTCTTCTTCTTTTTTGCAAAATTCAACTAATACGGATGTTTGTCGGAGGTGGTCGGCACCGATGCTTAGGTAGTTGATGAAAGCCGCTAAGTCCTGATTGTGCATCTTCCAGAAAGTTGCATCTTCTAGTTGCCGAAGATTGATCAATTTACACAGATCATTGACGTCACAAGACCCTGTGTTAAACCCTCCTAATGTTTCGAGGTTGCTCAACCCATCAAATTTGAATTTAAAATTGAGATTGAGATTCGACGGAATATACAAATGCCTCAATTGTTCCATTCCATGTATGACTATTACTTCACCTGAGTTGAACTTGCAAAATTGTAAATCCAAGGTTTGCAAGTGTTTCAACTTGCAGATAGACGAATGCCATTTTGGTATCAAACAACCTCCAAACCTCAAGTACCTCAAGCTAATTAGGTTGCCTATTGATTCGACTGACTTTTCATCAAACTTAAATCCTTCAAGATCCAAATTCCTAAGCAATTTGAAGTACTTCAAATGGGCGTTCAACTCTATTAAAGACTCCTCGTTGACACTCCCTGAATTGCAGAACAATATGGATCTTAGATGTTTAGTTTTCTCCAATTCAGGGAGGACAACTCTTTCGACATTCCTATTCAAATGAATTGCAAGTTTGCGTATTTTAGGAGCAGTAGTTGTTGATGTTGTGGTGGAAAAGCAATTAGCTAGATCAGTTTCACGTTGGAGATGAATGATCCCAAGAAAATCATTCATTTTTGCCTTTGATAAACACAGCTCCAACATAAGGTCATGAATGCGGCAATAATTGATCCTTTGAGTATACTCGTCTACTTGTACTTGAACCATGCACCTCTGTGCAAGCGCACCCAAGTAACGTTTTCCCACATCCATTATTGTTTCATCTCCCACTCTATCATCATCTACAATTATACCGTCAGCTATCCACAAGTGATATAGTCTTTCAGCATCTACCTCATAATCCTCCAGAAAGTGACCAAAATATAGAAAACATGGCTTCAATTGATAAGGCAAGTCATGGTAGCTTAAAGCTAACACCGTTGATACTCCATTGTCATGTTGTATGGGGTCGTCACTCCATTTATGCGAAAGAACATTTTGGTATACAACCTCCCATTCCCTTAATGTATGCTTTGTTGCCAAAAGTCCACCAAGCACAATGATTGCTAACGGTAAACCAGCACACAGCATTACCATTTTCCTCCCTATTGCCTCCATATTTGTATCAAGCACTCCAGAGTCTACAAAAATGACAAAATGCAAAATTTAAAAACAACAAAAAATATATTATTGCCTAGACTCTATAAAACAACAAAAATAAAAATTCTATTGAATGCATGCGTGAATAAGCAATAAAAAATGAAAATTTTGCCGACTTTTTCAAGACCCAAATCAAGTTTTTTAACATGGGCCTTTTATACATATATAGATAGATAATTCTAAAGCAAGCTTGTAATATGGATTGCTTTTTAAATTTTTTTTTTTTTTTTGCAAAATTAAATCAGTTGGTAATTTAAATTTAATTTAAAATTTATGAACTTTCGTATTCTCGAGTATTAAACTCAAATTAGTAGTTGTAAAATTACTAATCAAACTTGCATAATTCAATTTAACAATCAAATCCATTGAATCATTCTTGTGACAAAGTTGACCAAAGGTAAGATTTAATCAATTTCAATTTAAAAAGTTTATTTCTTTAGAAACAACTGTAACAAGGATAGTCAATAACATTCTATACGCAAACCATATATTTGGAAATTAATCATCCGCTAATTTTAAATAATTTACTACATCAACAAGCTTTTTTGTTTCTATTTAAGGGATAGTTTTTTTTCAACCAATTTTTGTAGTCCAAAATAGCCGCGTCCTCAACTTTGCCTCAAAGTCAGCAGTGTTTACATTGATACTTGCATCTTTTCAATCAAAAGTTCTATATCAACAAAGAAGAAGAAAAAGCTCAAATTCATGCATGCATTTGGTACAAAGAGAGTGATGTTATTTTTTTTAAATTTAATTTATTTATTTTTTTTGAACAAGAAAAAAGGGCTCTGAGGTGTCATCACGGCCCTGTGGGCCCTGACCCCAGGGTAACCGGTTGCCAGTCAGAAATTAACCCCTACCATGTGAGGGACCCACCACCGGGGCACCAGGGGAGCTCAACTATACGCCACAGACTGCCGATGGTTCGAACCGGAGTACAGAGGGGGGGCCTCAAAGAGAACACTTCCACACTCCCCCCAAGATTCGACCCTGGGTCAAGCCTGTGGAGACGAGTTGCTTTCTCCACTGGGCCACCACCCCCGGTGGTAAAGAGAGTGATGTTAAGGAGCCAAGAAGTGAACTGTGGCCCCATTTGAGAATTTGTTATTTTAATTAATTTTTAATTTTTTACAAAAAGACAAATAAAAATAAAATAAAATGAGTGATTTATAACCTTCCTTTTAGATTCCATTCTTCAAGCTAGTATTACAAAGTTATCATACATGACTTATGTCAGTCAAATTTTAATCAATAATTAGTGACTAGTCTTGGAATATTATGTGTCATTGTCAATATGGTGTTTCATATTAATTGCATTGCAAAAACTTTTATGAATGGAACATGTTAACTCATCTTTGTGGGAGTAGTTAAGACAAATGATGACTATTTAGTTTTTATTGCGGTTTCTCATTGACTGAGACTAGATCAGGTAGATAACATGGTAATCTGGAAGTACCTAATAATTCGAATAGTGATATTTGTATGATATTTTAAAATTAAAAGGTTTAACCATACAATTTTGTAGTTTAAGAGGATATTAATATTCAGTACTAGTTCACCAAATGTTATTATAATTAACACTAAATTTTTTAACATCTAGTTGCGTTCAGTTCTTTTAGAGTAATAATAACTCTAATAGAGATATTTGTATGATATTTTAAAATTAAAAGGTTTAAATATACAATTTTGTAGTTTAAGAGGATATTAATATTCCATACTAATTCACCAGATGTTATTATAATTAACACTAAATTTTTTAGCATCCAGTCGTGTTCAGTTCTTTTAGAGTAATAAATTACATAAAAGAAGTAGCTTTTCTTTCTAAGTGAAATGCTTGGACCAAATTTTTTTGGGGGATGGAAATGCTATTTTATCATTAATTTACAAAATATTTAATCAGAATAATATGGTAGATGTATTTTTGAAATAAAGGCCACTCCAAATGGGGGGAAATTCTATTTCAAGGTCTGTAATTTTTGTGATATTTAGTTACAAGTTACCGTATTGTTAGTTATGATTTGATTATAATTCATTGTTGTGTTATTTATGATTCATTGTGATATTGATTATGACATTATTTTAGATGTGATTTAAACTGTCTTTAGTTATACCTTCTATGGTGTTTAGTTATGACTCATTTTTTTAATTACATTTGAAAATAATTTAGTTACGACATTTTTTATAATCAAAATTACAAATGTCATAACTTGCATATAGCATGAACCATCCAATAGGTCATTTGATTTAAAATAAGAAGACTTAAATATGTCACATCATATATTTGTATATATATAGAGAACTTACGTGTAGGTTAATTTTCAGCGACAGTTTAAAAATTTTGTCACAACAAATATCACCAATTATAAGTTTTAGCGACAGTTTTAAAAGGAGTCACAAAAAAGTCACTAATTTTTAACTTTCAGCGACAGTTTGAAAAATTCGTCACAGAAAAACGTCACTAATTTTAAATTTTAGCAATAATTTATAAAAACCGTGACAAAAAAACCAAAAATTGTCAATTTTTAGCAACATGCAAAAAATTATCACAAAAAATAATTTTTAGTAACGATTTTATTAGGACTCATTTTTATTTGGACTTAATGGAAATTAAGTCCAACTATTAGGACCTATTGATAGTTTAGCCCATATATATTTGTATAAATTTTATATTTCTATATGTTTGATAACCATTGAGTTGTTGTTGGTGTCTTGGGAATGCTGTTGTAACCCTTCATGTGGGTCAATTTGGGTCTATTTCGATTATTTGAATCATTTATATTGTAAGATTTATCGAGTAAATGAACTATGAAAAAAATCATAATTAATCATATATTTATAACCACATAATAATAGATCATATTTATTTATTTATTTTTAAAATATATGATTTTGATAATATACTATCTATTTTTGAAAAAAAAAAACTATGGATCATGTGATTTTGAATGCCTGATTAATTTGATTTTTTTTGTATGAGTCCTTACGTATTCCAACTATTGAAACTTGGGGAAATTACAACACAATGAGATAGAGAAAAAAAAATATAAAAATATGGGGGTGCAAGTGATTATGAGATGAGATACAAGTGAAAAGGTACGGAGGTGCAAATATGTTTGTGTAAAATTTAATTTTCTATCTCACTGGAAAGTGATTACTTGAATTGAATGTTTTCAATTTATGTAGTTTTCGTAAAATGAATATTCTAAATACATTTGGTACGACCCTATGACCAATAGAGCTAAAGTATTTTCCATCTTTCCCAAATCTCCGCCCATGAGTCATTAATCTTTTTAGATGATAATAGATCACACAGATGATATGAAAACTAACATTGAAATAATTTAATTTGTATCAAAATATATAGCAATGTAGACTGATTAATAATACCTCTACCATCTCTTCTTAGTAATGATTTCTTTTGAAGTAGATCCCAACTTTCCTCGTCATTTAAACATGAGGGCTCATGGAAGATATGGTATGGATCTATCTGTGAAGGCAGTGTTTTATTACGAGTTGTTAGCAATATTTTGCTGCCAGTGTTTCCATTTGGGAAGGCCGGTTTCAAGCTTTTCCAAGCCTCTATTGACCAAATATCATCCAATACGACTAAGCATTTTTTACTTTGTTGGATTTTATAAAGCTGCTCAAACAACTCTTTATTTGCCATCCTAACAACATCTTCCTTCCTCTCTGGAACAAGATTGATGAAGATTTCTTGCAGAATATCTCTTGTTTGATACTGCTGAGATATGCATACCCATGCCAAACCTTGAAAGTGACTTTGAATATCTTTGTGATGATATACTTTTTTAGCTAGAGTGGTCTTGCCTAAACCACCCATGCCACAAATAGAGACAACTCGACTAGGAGTATAATCATTAACTTGCACCAAATGTTTCACAACCATGTTCAAGTCTTCCTCAAACCCAACAAAATCCTCTTCAACAACATGCTGATACGATTGCCTCAATTCTTGTTGCTTCTCTATTGTCGAACTTCTTACGCCATCACCTATAGCAGTATTAGTTTAGTCTTTCTAGCAGTCGATTTTCAATAATAATATTGTACAAATAGAATTTTCATACAAAAAACTCACATAAAATGATTTTTTTTTCTTTTGTGATTCTTTCATTTTCAAGAGGAAAAAATACTCATTTTATGGTCCAAAAATAACAGTGTCACATAGTTTGTATGAATTTTGTATATAAAAATTCTATTTTATGAATCATTTTTCACCATATATCAATACATCCTTTATAAAATATATATTAAAAAAAGTGGAGGTTAAAATTGTGAAATATTATTTTTATACGTTTTTATAAATTTATAGGATTTTTTTGTTTATGATTTCTAGTAATATTTTCTTAGAAGAATAAGGACAACACAATTTTTTATAGTAATATAGGTCCTCCCAAATATACGGTGACAAAAATACTTCTACTACACCACTTCAGGTATCACCTATTACTTTTTTAACTCATTTAAAAATTTCAAAATTATATAACTTTTGATCTAATTTTTTTTATTTATAAAATCTGTATTTTTGGAATTGTTTCATCAAAATCTGTAAAATAAGATCCATGATGAATATAAAATTTCAAAAAAAAAAAGTTGACGGAATTTTATTGACCTAAGACAAGTTAGTAAAATTTTGATATGTCAATGAAATTTTGATGACCAAGTTAGACTAAGTCAATGAAATTTCTAAAAATATAAATTTTACAAAAAATGGAGATATAAATAAAAAGTTATTAAATTTTAAAATTTTGAAATCACTTCAACAACGTAAAAGGTCACACGAGAGAGAAATGATGTTATGAGAAAAATTAGGGCTTCGTTTGGTTTAATTTTAAAATTATGATTTGAGTGTGGAGTTGTGTTTTGAAAGATAAGTTTTTGAAATGAGTATAAAAAGAAAAAAACTTGTTTAGTCATGAGTTTTGAAAAGAGTTTTAAGTTTTGAGTTGTACTTTAAAATTGTTTTGAGTTTATTTTTTAAAAATATTTGAAAATTTACTTTATTTTATTTTGTTAGGGTAAAATTTTTTATTGTAAATATATATATATTTTTTAATGTGCACTGTATTTACTACATTTGTGCGTTATATTTTTTTTAAAAATATTTTAACATAGGCGTCAGAGAATTAATTTGGATTTATGCTTGGTAGGTCAACAATGGAAGCAATCTATCTTTTGAGGAGAGTAATAGAAAAATATAGAGAAAAGAGTCATTCATATAGTTTTTATCAGTCTTGAGAAAACATGTGATAGAGTGTCTTGGGATATAATCTAGTAAATGTTAGAGAAGGAATGGGTGACAAAAGACTACATTGATGTGATTAGAGACATGTATGAAGGTTTGGTGACCACTATTAGATCGTCTGCTAGAGAAACAAGTAAATTTTCAATTATTGTGGAGTTTCACCAAAGATCAACCTTAAGTCATTATCTTTTTTGCTTTAATTATGGATGAGTTGACGTGAAAGATTCAAGATGATGTGCCATTGTGCATGTTTTGTGCAGATGATATCGTGTCAATAGATAAGACTAGAGAAAGAGTTAACACTAAGGCCATGTTTGTTTGGGTGGACATAAGCTTGGGATTGGACTAATAGTCCAATAAAATTATTAATCCGATATTTGGTTAAACAATTGAGGTGCGGACTAATTATTTTAAACTTGACTATTAGTTAAGTTAGGATACATAATCCAACGGATTCGTAATCCTAGGACTATTAGTCATGGGAATGCTAATCCAGTCCGCCTAAACAAACATGGCCTAAGGGTGTGTTTGATTAGGGGGATAAGGAGGGGAGGGGGGACTATCCACTGTTAGGATTGTAATCCGGAGGAAGCTTTTTATCCGGCATTTGTTTTTTTTTAGTCCGCCGGACATGGAGTCCGGCTGGACTCCTTATCCCCCATATGAGGGATTATACTATCCTAGGGTATAGTGATTCTAGTTTTGACCCGTTACCTATTGTATTTTGGACTCAGGTTGGTATAGTTTAGAATGATTATTCATGTCTTATTTCCTTTGTCTCCCCTTATCTTGATTATCGAGTTGTTGTTGTGCGTTTGGAACAGATTGGGTACTTTGTTTTTCCAAACTTGTGATGCCCAGATTTTGGTCTTTTCGCTCGAGTGGGCTTCACAGATTTTGCTCCTTCGCTCGAGCGGCCATTCTTGCGCTCGAGCAGGATTCATCAACTTTCAGTATATTTTTGCAGTTTTGAAAATGCTGGAAATGTGCATTCTATGCTCGAGCACCAACTTTCACGCTTGAGCGGATCCTTGTGTCTGACGCTCGAGCGTCACTTCCTACGCTCGAGCGGATTGCGTGTATTTCAATCCGAGAAGATGACATTTGGAATCACTTTTTCATATCTCTCTCTCTCTAAAACTTTCCAAAAAGCTTGTTTTTGAGCTTCTTTCTCTACAATTCACCTTTTCTCTTAGATTTCATCTAGATCCATTGGGATTTCCACCCTAGTGCTTTTGAGAAAAAGGTAGAGCTCGTCAAGATCTAACTTTTGATCCAAATAGAAGTGGGTTTCGATGTTCTTGGAGTTTCTCCCTTGCTTTGCCTCATCTTCTCACTTGAGGTAGGAATCTTCTACACCTTCATATGATATTTAGCTTAGTTATTTGTCTCTTGTGTAACAATGGTGTGATTTGGGGAAATTTTGAACAAACCTAGGGTTTGGGCATAAAATGGAAAGAGGGGTTTTGGGTGTAGGTGAAATAGATGCTTGTGGGGTTTGAAAATGATGTTGTGTTATGTCTAATTTGATGATTTTGGCACTTGGTTAATATTTGGAAAAAAGAGAGAAGTTGCCCTAATTAGATCAACTATTATTCTATACAAATAATTGCAATTTACATTGGAAATGTGAAATTGAGAGGGTATTGATATGAATGGTGGGATTGGTTATGTATCAACTTAGTCTTTTAGAAGTTTTGAATAAACTATTTGTTTGAGATTTAATATCTGTCTAGAGATAACTGTATTAGGCTATCGGTGGAGGATAGCTTTGACTGTTGTAGAAATTGTATGTGGATTAGGTAAATTGAAACTAATCTTTTGATGGTTGTTATTGAATATGACCGTGTTTATATACATTGTATATGTATGATTGTTTGGAAGTGGAAAGAGGATGTGCTTCATGTTCGATTATCTGTCTAAATACATTGCACATGTATGGATATTTGTTTGGGAAGAGAAAGAGGATGGACTCCATTATAATTAAGTTGGACGGAGTGTCCTAGGTGAAAGTTCCGAAATTATACATGGGTGCCTAGCCTGCGGGTGAAATATCCGTAAAATGACAATTGTAGTGCTTGTATAGCCTACGTTTACATGGGACTCGTTTTACGGTTGCCCGCGGACGAAATTTCCGTGAAATAGAAGTTTGAAGTGTTTATGCATATGTGTTGTATGATTTGAAATTTTTTGAGTTGCAGCGTCAATTCGGTTGTTGAGAAATAATGAAATTGACTCATGAATGGAGACAAATAAGTGAACGGAATATGAATTGAAGAGAAATGGATAAGACTAGAAATTAATATCTCATGATTATATAATGTTGTGAAACGTTTCATCACATGCATTGTTTATGCACTTGTACTTATACCTTTGCTAAACTTCATATACCGTGTTAGATGATTTCTACTGGGTTGTGGCTCACCCTATTTGGAAATAAACATTTTCAGGTAATGATGAGATGCCTCCACCAAGGCAATAGCATTGGGGGGATCTCCGGGAAGCAAGAGCTTTTTGTTTTGTTATATTTTGTATAGCCTAGGGCTTTAATTGTAAGGGCTAGTCCCACTTTTGTTGTAACCAAGTTAAGGCTTGGAAAGGTGTAAGCCAATATGGCATTTATTTGCGTTAAACTCTTTGTATTCATTAACTTTATGTAATTAAAGGACTAAGACCCTAATTTATGCTATTTATTTATAGGTGTTTATAGATGTGTTTATGTTATTATTTTGGGGGCGTTACATAGGAGGGTATGAGACAATTTTCATTGGGCTATTTACTGTTGGGATTAGAATGTGAAATGACCATTTTGACCCTTTGCTATTTAATTATGTATTTTATTTAGTAAAATTCAATAAAATTTAAATGGCTCAATGTAAAACTAAAATAATTTTATTTAACTTTTTATTGATGTTTTATTTATTTAATTTTTTATAGATATTTTATTGATGTTTTATTTTAAAATTTTGTTTATATTTTATTTAATTTCATTATTTAAATTTTAATAGATATTTTATTTAATTTCATTGTTTAATTATTATTATTTTTAAAAATAAATTTATTTAAAATTTTAATTAAAAAAATAACATATATTTTTATTAATATTTTATTTATTTTATTTTTAAAAAATAAATTTATTTAATTGTGTAAAAAATAAAATAAAATAAAATTTTATTTAATCTAGCTAAAAATAATTAAAATATTAAAGATATGTTTAATATTGCTATTACTTAGTAAACAATTGAAAAATAGTAAAATAGTTTTTTATTCATTTATCCTATCCAGTCCGTCCAACCAAACATTGAATTCACTAAAAATAGTTTTTTCCAGACATCTAATCTCATGAAAAAACAAACTCTGGATACACATTTAATCCAACCAAATAGTCTAAGAGATTCACAGTCCTAGGATTCAAGTCCGATGGATTCTAATCATCCTTATCCAGTTCGTCCAATCAAACACATCCTAAGTTGGAGACTTGTAGAGAAATACTTGAATTTAAAGGATTTAGGATAAGTGGAATTAAGATAAAGTACATGGAGTGTAATTTTAATAATAGTAACAATAGAAGCAAAGGAGAAGATAAAATTAAAAATCAAGAACTACCTAAGAGTGAACATTTTCATTATTTAAGATCGATTATCATAACAGTTGAGGAGATTAGTGCAAATGTGGTCCATAGAATTAAGGCATGGTGGCTTAAGTGGAAGAGTGCATCTGGGGTATTATTTGATAAACGAGTATCCACTAAACTAAAAGAAAAGTTCTATGAAATGGTTATTAGATCAGCGATGTTGTATTCGACGGAATATTGAGCAATTAAGAAACAACATGTGGATAAGATCAGTGTTGTTGAGATGAGGATGCCAATATGGATGTGTAGCAAGATTAGAAAAGACAGAATTAGAAATGAATATATTTGTGAATGAGTAGGAGTAGTATCGATAAAAGATAAGTTGAGAGAGAATAGATTGAGATGGTATACAATGGAGACTAATAGAGGCAGTAGTGAAGAAATGCGATACAGTAACGGTAGATGGGAGTGTTAGGGAAAGGGACAAATTTAAATTGACGTGGGAGAATATAGTAAATAGAGATATGAATCTCCTTAATTTGACTAACCAAATAATCGTTGATAGAGTCGAGTGGAGAAGAATGATTCATGTAGTCGACTCCATTTGATGGGACTTAAGGTTTGGTTTGGTTTATTTTTTTAAATATTTTAATTTTAATATTTTTAATTTTTTTAAATACAAAATATTTTTTAAATATTTATTTTTTTTAATTTTAAAATTTTTTGGATTGCTTATATATATAAATCATAACAAATTATTTGACCAATACTTAAAAAAATAATAAAATATTTTTTTTTTTGAAAAAATAAAAATATTTTTATACAAAAATAAAAATAAACATTTTAAAAATAATTTATTTTTTATTTTTTAAATTTAATTTTTTATTTTTTACATGTTGGGCATTTTAATTTTTTATTTTTCACATGTTGGGCATTTTTTTTGAACATTAATGTTTAATGTTTTTGTATTTTTTTATTTGTTTTATTATTTTATATAAAAATAATTTAACAATCCCTATACCAACAACTATCATCAAAACAAACACAATTTTACTTAATTTCCTCACTAATAATCTCCTCATTATGAATTCCCTCTATTCTAAACGGACCCCTAAAGTTGTCATTATTATTTTAAGATTTCAAATCTCAACAATTTTAACCAGCAAGTAAATTGTTGTTATATTTAAATTCTTACACAAACATAGGGTTATGTCTTTTTAATTTCCCCTAAATTTAACTGAAAAAAAAAACATAAAATATTATTCTTTCCTAAAATTGATTGTCACAGGAAAGCTTAATGGAATATATTAACATAATTTAAGTTTCAAATTTTAATTAGTAATAATTTTGAATCTAAAAGAGAGAAAAATATAACAATAATTGAAAATTATTAACAAATAAATAAATAAAAACTTAAATTTAAAATCAACACTTGACCTGGCTCACCTATACTTTTCAAGCCGTAAGTATGCAAACTAGCTGTGAGGTCAGCGATCTTGTTTTTAATGGCACCGATCTCACTTCCGACCCTGTGAATGTCTAGCCATTCGTCGAAGATGCCAGCGAATCTTTTAAGGGTGTTTCGGAAACCCTTTTTGTTCCTTTTGGATGTAACTTGGATGACAAAAGTTTCAAGGATGTCTTCGGTTTCATAAGCAAGTTTTCTGATTTCCGCAACCCAATTGTTGACCCTCGCATCTACAAGATCAGTTTGTATTGCATAATCTACGTCTTGTAAGAAGCATTGCATTCGCTTCAACTCGACTCGGATTTGTTCAACATGGCCGCTTACTCCTTTTAAGAATTTTGCTTCTTCAGTTAACAAAAGTCCAAGTCTGTTGACAATGAAGGACACAACAGGCACTTCCATTATGAAACTGTAGTACTTCAATTGAATTCAAACCTACTCCCTCCCAACCCAACAAAATATGGGTTTGAAGAGTCGGTGGAAACCTAGGATGAAGGTTGGAGAAGAGAAGGGGTTGAGATGTGGGGTGAGTGTAGAGACTGGAGAGAGCTAAAGAGAGAGAGAGATTGATTAACTGAGACACACAGTTCTTACAAATATCAGGGGTTGCACAATTTTGTGGCGGAGCTGATTTATGGAAAGTACATTATCTATTCCTTTTTTCAATTTTTTTTTTAATTTTGTCCTATTTATCTTTAAAAATGAAATGTAAAATATAAATACACTTCTTAAGTTTATTTAAAATATAATTTATCCTTATAATTTTAAAAATTATAAATATTATTTTTTTTGAATTTTTTATTTAAGAGAATGAATGAAAAAAAATAAAATTTCTAATTACGCTCATATACAACAATAAAATTATTTAAATCGTTAATTGAAATATATTTATAACATTATTAAAAATTATTAATTGATTTGATGATTTATTAATAAAAATGGTCATTTATTGTGTGATTAAAAACTTAAAAGAATGAGATGTAATTTTCAGAACCATACGAGACAATTTATATATTAAGCAAACGTTAGAGTATATTTGTAATTTATCCAAAATATAAAATAAATGATTAAATTTTAAATATATATTTATCATTTATTTTTTCATAAATAAATTATATAATATAAAAAAATTATAATTATTAATTTAATTTAATTTTTTATTAATAATATATACATAATACTCTAAAATGATTTGTATCATAGTATTTGGGTGTCAATTTTTTTCAATATATATATATATATATATAATTTTTTATTACCACATGAAATTGTGATCCAACGCGGGACGATATGATTCACAAATTAACATATGGGATGGGACCCAACCCAACGCGGGACAATGGCACTGGGCTCACGCGTTGAGAACACGATCCGATGGGTGTTATTCAAACGTGTGAGATGTTTGTATGCGTTATTACAGAGGTGGCAACAATTTACGAAAAATAAAAGGAAAAGTTTTCAATATAAAAAATAATTTGATTTCAATTTTCTGAATTTGATTTTTTTTAAATTGAATTTTTTATTTTTCATATTTTTTTAGCAAATATTTTTAAAATTTTAAACAATTTTTTTTTTTACTTTTTTAGATATACCTTACTTAAATGTATCTAACCAGTAAAATATTTGTGAAAATTATTTTAAAAAGTTAACAAATACACAAAAAAAGTACTGAATTTTCATTTTTTAAAAAATATTTTTGATAATTAGTGAATTTTGTAAAAAGTTTTTCACAAATATTATACTTTTTTAAGTGTATTTATGTTTGGTGTGTTTAAAAAAAATTTTAAAAAAATATTGCTTAAAATATTAAAAAAATAGTGAAAATAAAAAAATATAAAAAATAAAAAAAGTAAATTTTTTTAAAAAGTAAATTCTGGAAATAGGAACCAAACAGAGTGAATAGTATAAGTGAGTAAAAAAAATTATAAATATTAATAATTATAATTATAAAATTTATTTTATAAATTTATGATAACTTTATGAAATTACCGAGTAATTTCCCCAAACAAAAAATGCAGCAAAAGACAATGAAGACTGACTTCAGTGGTGACTTTATTCTATTACTTTAATTTTAGGGTAAATTATTAATAAATTTTAATAATTAGATTTAATTCTCATCAAATTTTATTAAAAATAAGTTTTTATAAAATCGTCGGTAAAAATATTTTTTTGTGACGATTTTTTTGCATGTCGTTAAAAATTGACAATCAGTGACTTTTTTGTCACGATTATTATGAATTGTCGCTAAAACTTGTGACTTTTTTCTGTAATGAATTTTTCAAACTGTCAATGAAAGTTAAAAATTAACGATTTTTTTGTGATGAATTTTTAATATGTCGCTAAAATTTATAATTAGTGACATTTTTGTGACAATTTTTAAATTGTCGCTGAAAATTAACAATTAATAATATTTTTTTAATAATTTTGATGAAAAATATTATTAATTTATAATAATTAAAATTATAAAATTTGTTTTATAAATTTATAAAAACTTTACGAAATTACCGAGTAATTTCCCAAACCAAAAAGGCAGCTGAAGACAAATTTTAGCGGTGACTCTATTCTATTACTCTAATTTTATTAGGTCGTGTGATTGTTAAAAATAATCTATACTATTATATAATTAGTCAAGATTCAAATTTTGTAAATTAATTCATATGGTTTACGACTCCACAGATGTAGATGTGATATCCATCACTACTAAAGGGTTATAATATAAGATAAATACTCACCAGTGTTGTTTTGTGTATTATTTAATACTGAAAATTATGTATAAAGTATTTTAAAAATATGTAAAAATATTAAAAATTATATTGATTTCAATAAAAATGTATTGAATTTAATAAAAAAAAATTTGGGTTCTTTAAAATTTTTGTCCTTTACACTTGTTGGTAAGACTCATAATATAAATTTTCAATGGTGTTTTGAGAATTAAGCTAAAAGTTAATATTTTTGCTTTTAATCTATTTTAGGTCATATCATCTCTATACTTTTTATATATTTTTTCATAAAAATTGTCAAAAAATTTAAAATTTAATTTTTAACCAATTTTTCAAAACAAACTTAAAAGAAGAAAAAGCGCAACCTAATTTATATACAAAAGTTATACTCTTTTGCCAAAAAAAAATTCTTTCTTAGGGGTTATTTAAGATGATCCAAATAAGTATATTTTTAACTTTTTATGAAAAAATGTATAAAAAAAATAAATAGGTGATATGACCCAAATAAATACATGCGCAATACACTTTTTGACTTTTTACGAAAAGATATGTAATAAAATATTGTTGTAAAATCAAAATGACCATTCTACCCTTATTGAGTTTTTGACTTTTGAATAGTTGAATTCAAATGGCAAAATAATTTTGCCCTCTAGACTTCTTACACAAACTTCTCCAATTAGAATGAATTTTTTAACATTTTTAATAATTTTGACTTTTTTAACTTTTGTAGGTTATTCCAAACAAACCAATGGATTAGGTTGGGTGGGATCACGTCTACATGTTCAACGCATAACTCATGAATCACTCACTTTTTCCAACACTATTTAGGAATTATTTATGATAATTTAAATAAATATACTTTTTAATTTTTTATAAAAATATAAAAAATAAAGAAATAATATAACTCAAAAAAATAAAATAATAAAAAATATATTTATATAACACACCCCCAAACAAAGGCGTTAATTGAGAGACGCAAGCAATAGTAGGGGCCGCAAACACGGCACCTTTGCTATAATAACAACCACATATCAAAGGGTGACCGTGACCTGTTGACAAAAAAAAGGATGGGTGACCGGGACAATGACAATGGGTTCACGCGTTTTTTTTTTTTTTGTGGTGTTTTGAAAAATTGGTAAAAAATTGATTTTTGATTTTTTTAGTTAAAAAAGTTAGTTTTTTGGGTAATGACTTGGGTAAAAAAGTTAATTTTTTTGGCTAAAAAACTAAAAGCTAACTTTTTGCTAGCTTCCCAAAGTGAGCCGCGGGACAATATATTTGGACCTATAGTTTGAATAGATTGAATAAAAAGAAATTATAATTTATCAAATTATCAATCTTGTGATATATAATTTTTAACTTATCTGATTAGAAATGAGGTATATTATATATTTATTTAGTCATGGGATTAGATGTTATGAAATGATTAATCTACTGAATCTTATGTTTGTTTAGGATATTATATATAAAAAGAGAGAGAGAGAGAGAAATGCTCAAAGGACTATTTTACCTCTTTGTATTGTTTACTAAATAATAGTAATACTAAATCTGACTTATAATTTATTTATTTTTACTAAGTACAATACATATTAAAACCAAACAATTTTTGTATGTAACAGTGAAAAAAAAAAATTTTGAATCTTTATCCCATCATTTGAAAATAAAATAAAATTAAATACATGTACTTGGGCGGGGCAAAAGTGATTTTTTACAAGTTAATCTTATTGTTATCTCACCATTTGTATCCTACCTCCCCTCTTAAGACACAACAATCTCACATATGAAGGATATGTAGTCCGGTTAAACTCTTAATTAGACCTACAAATTTTTAACCAAACAATAAATTTTTCTATAAAATAAACATGAAATCCAATCTTTCCCTCTTATCCCTCCAAACAAACACTTAGGGGTGAGCAGCGGATATATCGATCCGCCAAAACCGATCGAACCAAACCGATCCGCCGCATTTTGGACGGATGCGTGATAATAAGCGGACGGTTGCGGATTGATTTTCTCCAATCCGCCAATTTGGCGGACGGATGGCAGATTTGAGATTTCTTTGGCCACAATGAACCGTCAAACCACGAGTACCCCTAGTAATTTATAAGACTTTGTGTTTTCAGTTTGTTTAAATATTTTGTTTGTGCTTTCGATTAAAAAAGAGTTTTAATATTCTGTTAAAAAAAGTTTTCAACTTGAATGTCTTTTTTGAATTGAAAAAAATAAGCGTATTATTTATCTATATTTTTTGGTTTTTAAATCTATCTCTAAAAATAATAAATAGAAAATATGATATATGCTGGTTGGTTTTTGTTTTCAAAAACAGATATAGATGTAACAATACGGAGACATACAATCTCTACTACTGCTCTGTTCATGGTTTCGGTGGTTTGAATTGTTTTTATATTTGAAGAACCACAGACTATAATACTTTATGTGGATGCATGCAGTGATTGTAGTATGTGGATGAGACATGCAGTGATTGTGATATTCAAAAGTTTCAAACTTTCTTGCTTTGGATGAGGCGTGTAGTGATTGTAATATTTTTTTAAGTCATTGACTGTAATTCTTTTTTTTTTTTTTTAGGAAAAACAATAAACAATGTTGCCTCAGCTCTGCTTGAAGTAGGGGTGAGCAGCGGATATACCGATTCGTCAAAACCGACTGAACCGAACCAATCCGCCGCATTTTGGACGGATGCGTGATGACGAACGGACTGTTACGGATTGATTTTCTACAATCCTCTAATCTGGCGGACGGATGGCTGATTGGAGATTCCGTAACCGCAACCAACCCGTGTCCACCCCTACAAACACCCCATCTGATACCCAACGCAGGACAATGGGGCTCGCGCGTTGGAGAGATTATTTTTGTTTTAGTAACAGTGTTTCACACTATT